TAGTAGCTCCCTTTTTTAAATAAGCTGTCTATCCTGTATGTGTCAATAGATATTTCTAAGCTCTTATAACTAGATATGTCCCCTGCGCGCTCTGCGCACAACCCCCGTAATTGCAAATTAGATTTACGAAGTATGGAAAAAAATCCGAATTATATTAATTGTTACTTGAAATTTATATATGTAATAAATGTATATTGATCATAATTGATCACATGAATTTTTAACAATCACTTTTTATTTTCCCTGACTAATGCCTAATTTTTATATAGTTAAAACGACAACGTATTGAAAGATTTTAAATATCGCCAAAAATTACAAAATAACGATATTGTTAGAATCACAAATTGATTTTGTTTTGACCGTATCGTTAGTTGATTGCTTTTTTTCTTTAAAATTTTTATAACCAAAATTGTATCCCAAAGGTATTGCTACTATTCTGCTCCCAAAGGGAACGACCACTCACAGAACTTTCAGACTTTCTTAAGACTTGAGCACTACAGAAACCGCATTCTTCTGATTTGAACCAGATAAACAATAATTACGTAATGTAACAGTAATTGTTTGGGATAAAGCTTCGATGATACCAAAAAAAGCGTTAGAAATCATTGATAGGACTTTAAAAGATTTATCTAGTAGTAATAAACCTTTGGGAAATGAAATAATAATTTTAGGTGGAGACTTTCGTCACATTCGTCCAGTAGTAAAAAACGGAAGCAAAACTACTATTGTTCAAGAAACCATAAAATTTTCCAATTTTCGGCCTTTATTTAATAAATTTATTTAAAAATAATATACGTTCAATTGATAAAAAATTTTCTTCATTGCTACTGCATATAGGAGAAGGCAAAATTTAAACTTTTATAATTCCTCAGACATGGAAAACAAATGATGTATGTTCTAGAATTTCTAATAATTATGATGATTCTTTTATAAGTAAAGCTATATTAACATCTCACAATGAATACACTTATTTTTTGAACAAAAAAATTTTAAATAATATGGTAGGAACATTAGTAACGTACTATAGTATTGATAAAGCAACTCACAAAGGAGTAGATAAATCAGACGATAATATTTATA